GTATTAGTTGAAAACACTACCCTAACACTAGTGACAATTAATTATAATTGAAATGTGCTACATATAGCGGATGTCAACGAATGTATTAGAGTAAAAATTTCGAGAATATGAAGTGTATCATAATCCCATTTTCAACATATTTTCTAATATACTAAATTCATTATAAAATATATTTCATTCTATTATCAGCTCGGTGAAGGTCGATTTACGTTCGGATCTTCTACTAAAAGACGGCTGTGTCATCTGCCAAACCAGTTATACTACCCTTATTGTTTAATGAGAAAATTTCGTTTATATATACATTGAATAAAATTGGTCCTTGCATAGAGTTCTATATACTATCAGAAGGTAAGTTTTTAACCACCAATGGTTGCGGTACTGTGAGTACCAGCCTTTTCAAACCCCATAGATAATGCATGCATATTTCAACTTCACTTGTATTCATTGTTTTGTTTTTTAATTTCAGATTGGTGGGCATGAAATTTGGCAATTTCGAATAGGTGGCATCAATACTGGAATGGTATTTGAAATGTTACTCTATGTATGCTCTCTCATATCAAATGTACCTGTCGTTGCATATAATATTTATGCGTCATACAAAAATGGAACTGGAAAAATGAGAAGTTTTTCAGATGCAATTCGGCCGCTTTTACCTGTATCTGCCTTTTTTTTATTAACCTTGATATGGATTTTATACTCTCCCAGTAATATTGTGGACCGAGAGCCTAGAGCCCTATTTTTCCTTTTGGGAACAGTTTTTTCAAATATATCGGTAAGTATTGCAAGTAACATCACTGATACTACATAATTCTTGTCTTTGATTAGCTAATTATCATATTTTCTCTACATCATATCAACATAGATTTTTTCATTTGTCTATTACTGATATTCACTGAATGCGTTTTTATGACCTTTTTGTTGTTTTCACACCAAAATACTTATTTAGTAATAAAAAGAATAAATTTATTTGGAATAGACGCGCCCATATTGTTACAATGCAATATATAATAATTCAACGTTATGTGCCCCTGATAAGAATTTACAATTAGTGGGTAAAATATATTCTATTGTGGATTTTTTCACTACAAAATTGAATCGTTTACGATATTTTGTTTCTTTACGATCAGTAGGTAATGAATTGAACAAACTGGGTGACAAAATCTCGATATTTCGGTTTTTTTATGAGAGGATTTTAGCAAAACCTTTCGACAGTGCTCTTGTTATTTGTGGATGAACTATAGATTGTACAGATTTTTTTTAATATATCAGGATTTTATTAAAAAATACCTGTTTTATATCAAGCATTACATATTCAGAGATAAGACAGTCCGTGGAACAGGTATCTTTAGAAACCTAAAATGCCTTGGTTTGATGGGCCATTAGGATCACCCTCCTTTGCCTAAGGGGGTGGTCCTAATGGCCCATCACACCTAAGACCAATTTTAGCAAATTTGATTGAAAAATTAGTAATAGAAGGGTTGATGACCATCAGACCATCTAATTATAATCAAAATAATTACTCCTCATCAATTTGGCTTTCAGCAAAACAAAAACACTAATGACGTAATATTCAATTTTCTCCATAAAGCATACAGCAACTTGAATAGTGGTGAGGCGACTGCGGCAGTGTTCTGTGACTTATCGAAAGCTTTTGATTGTGTTAACAACAGAATACTGTTGCGGAAGCTACTTCATTATGAAATTACTGAAAACTGCCTCAAATGTTTCGAATTCCACCTTACAGGAAATACACAATTTGTTTAAACCAATAGTTGTTCAAATACAAAGAATGTGAAAGCAGGAGTACTCTGAGGATCGATCTTAGGACCCATACTCTTTCTCAGACACGGATTTAGAAGGCGGCATGCCGAGGCCTATGCCCCGGGCGGCAAGTTCAGAGGGCGGACAAATTCACACTGTGCAGACGAATGAAGAACTCATCATTTACTTAACTCTGACCTACACTAGGCACGAACATTATTATTCGCGAGGCGCGTAGGCACAGTTCAAAATGCGCGCCCGCTCGCCGGCAGGAATCGCGGCAACACGCGTTTGGTTACCGTGCGTGCGAAAGGGGTGAAGCTATATTCGAAAACTCTCTCCTCTCTCCAAGACAGTGTTTTGTTTCAAACATTTGTGTTGTTTGTTTGTGTTTACTATTTAGTACTTGTCGATCATATTAGATATTGGACAATGTCGTGGCCAATCTCATGATAATGCTCCAATATGGCCGGCATCTATAAAGGATTACAAGCCAGGATTGTAGAAAGGAATGTGCTATGTATAAAATATATATCTTACACGTTCATGTCTATATATCTCTCACCTATAGTAAGTGGGCATATCTGTAAATAAATAGGTTTAACACAGAAAGAGCAGCGATGGATGCATTATTTCCAAAAGGCCTATGTCCAAATGTCAATCAATCAAATGTCAATTAATCAAATGTCAATTCAGATAACTGAAATTTTGAGGCTGATAAAGGTAAAAATAAATATAATTGGACGGGGGCGGCATTTTTCAGTTTTTACTCCACCTAAAACATTGCAGATCCAGGGCTGGGGACAGAGAGGACACCTGAACGAAAAAGGCTGTACAGCGGTGATTTTAACTGCAACAAAGAGAGACAGCTCGTCATATTTTATGCGTTGGATATGACATGCATCCAGTAAAGATCCTTTACAAACTAGTACACTTCACAAGATTATTGGAATTGGTATCATGAAACAATGAAACGGATTAGAGAAAAACGCAATAAGCCCCTGAGGCTGCAGTGTTTTCCTGAGACGAAACGAACAAGTCAGATGACTCCTAAGTAGTAGAAAAATTCTCTTAAATTAAAAATAATGTGAAAAGTATCAATAGCTGTTGTTGAGCTGTTGATTCTTGGATTGTTGTCTTAAAGTCAACTGGTTGTTATGTGACTATTTGATTTATATTGCACTCATTGTGATTTTAGAAAAATAATAATGTGTTTACTTAGTTTGCCTTTCTATACCTATTTGGATTTCTATAGTACAATTTATATTTTATTTTTTTGTACTGTGGGAGATGAAAATATACAAAGGAGTCACAGAAACACATTGATGTCGATATAACTTGATTTGAAGATGTAAATTCTTTATAAATCTGAATCTAAATATTTTTCATTAATTTTAGTGTCGCCTAATCGTCGCCCAGATGAGTAACACCACATGTGAGGCATTCAATTTATTATTAGTTCCTACTTCGTTTGTCATCATGGTATCTATATTAACCCAGTGGGCCAGTCTTGAGTTGTTCCTTATGCACGCTTTATGTTTGTTCACAACCATTGCTCATATGCATTATGGGACCTGTGTGGTAAGTTATTTCAGTACATTTTTCAATAGGTTAGAATGTTTGATGAATTCCTTTCTTTGAAAGATTTCCACATTTTTTGTATAAATATTTTGTTTTTATTGTCGACATTGAAGACATATTTTTTTATGGTTCTGCACTCTTCATACTGGAAAAATAAAATTATGCTCTTATTCTCGGCATAATGCTTTGAATTTCAGCCCCACAGAGGATAGTTACACAAAAAAAAATCTTGTGGATATAAATTTAATCTATTTTAACCTGCAATTTCAAGCACGATGAAAATGCATCAAATTTATATTCACAAATTATTTCTTCGTGTAACTAACTCCTGTGAAGCTGAAATTCAAACCATTATTTAACGAAAAATACAACCTACCTGTTCCATATCAATGGACAGATCCAGATACATTAAGAGTTCAAAATCGATAAGTAACTCAAACTTGATATTTGTATTCACTGAGTGAAATTATTCCCCCCTTTTTGTTTTAAATCTAGCAATGACATAATAAAACCTGAAAGTATGAACTTGAATTTCAGGTTAGGCAGATGTGCCGCCATTTCAAAGTAAACTGTTTTACCATTAAGGAGCAGTCAGATTGACTATTGGTAGACAACGCATGATGAGGAATCAAGTGTTGTCCCTCGGATTTGCATAAACCATGTAGCCCTTTATAATTTCCCCCAGAGAGTTTATGTTGTACATTGTTTTAATTTTCAGATTGTTTTTTATATATACGTGCAGGTACCCAGTGTGTAGTTTTGATAGTTTTATATTTGAGTTTTGCATATAAGATGATTTAAAGGTTCTGTAAAATTAATTTGTTTCGTCTGTTGTATAAAATATTTTTTGGCGAAAACGATTAGACTCATGTCTAGAGTACAAAATACTTTTGAGACATTCAAATATTCTTTGAACCCAAAAGATTTACTGGAATCATTATCTACTTACTTCAATTCCGAATGGTAAATTTCAGGTACTTTAGTTTTACCATCTTTTGAAGAACTTTTAGAAAAAATCGGCAGCCATGAAAAAATGTTGAAACAATTATTCAACTCGGACTGTATATATCTAGCCAAAGAATTTACATAGGTTTAAGTTTATTCCAATTGTCATTAACATTGGAAAAAGCTTATAATTAACTACAATTATAGGAGAGGTCATTGTTATATATACTTGTTCCATTAAATCTTATGGAAAAATTTTAGCAGACAAAACCATGATTTTCAGGAACAAAGAGTATCTTTATGTTTAAAGTGTATATATTTTCTTATTAAGCATTCATTATCATTCCTACATTGTATTATTGTGAAAGTATCATATAGTTTTTACTTTGTCAGTTGAATATCTCGGTCAAATTAACTCATCAGAACATTCAAAATTATATACGTTTTGGATAAATTGATCACGTAGTGAGGAGAATTGCCAAATAAAGTAGTAACTAATATTCTCAACTATCATTTCAAACTATGTGATACTTAGGTTTTTGATATGCATGTACAGATTTTTTATTCGGCAACTGAATGTTTTCAAGGCAAACCATTTGTTAATATTTTTGTATTCCTTGCAAGATACGGAAGCATGGAAATTCATCTAGGGCATTAATTTCATCTGGTTCCTGTTTATTCATATGTGACAGGAATATAAACAGAGCTACCAATGATTGTATGAAAAAATACAAACTTTATTATTTTCAAGCAATACCGATCGATCGACCGGCAATAGATGAAACAATGAGTCCATAGGACAAGTGGTTTTATAAAGACTTTTGCTCTTATGGTATTGCTAAATAAAATTTTCTTTGAAAAATGGAAATTCATCGATAAAATTCTGAGGTCTTGTGGTATTACTATTGATGAATTTTCAATGAATTCTTGCCAAGTATTAGCATAATCAATTTGATATATTTTTTATGTCTGGTATTACTTCATGTACTAAACATTATTTCCTATAATATATGAAAATAGCAACTACTTTTCGTCCATTCATCAATTTCTTGGTGTTTTGGTAAATTTATATCTAAAAAAAATATTTTCAAATTGCTGTGGATAGAAAGTCTGTCGTACATTAGAACTTAAGGCCCCAACCAAAAATTAATGATAAACGAGTTTGTCCTAACCATTTATTTATGAAAAATGCAGTTGAGAAGTTGATTCACCTTTTTTTCTCATGCAGATTTGTGCAAAAAAGTCCAGTCTTCTTAATTTTTTTTACTTTGAAGTAGCTAAAATAAAGTTTCCTCAGCAACATGTCGTTTTTTTCCAGTGTACTTATTGGGACTCATTAGCACGGGCGGTAGCCAGTCGGTTCGACGTGGGTGCTTTGTTGACTCACTCAAATCGACCGCCGTGTTGGTCGCTGGTTCAAGCCTCAGGCTGAACAATCGATTTTCACTTGCTATCGCCCAACCCGTGTTAGGAATCACACGTTAAAAGGTAAGACCTCGTTAGTCCTTAGCTCGCACAAGTGTTGACTTTTGAGAGTTGTTGTTCGTAGAGGTGCGACAGCTGGTTAACGGAAAAACTTTAAACAGATTTTTTTTAATGTGAAGAATCAAATAACAGTGCTTTCCTAAGTACCTCAAATTAAAAAGAGATTTCTTCTAGGCTTTAATTTCTCAAAATTCAACGTGTTTTTATGTTACTTTCTCTCTTCATAGATGCTCAATCAGTAGCAGGTTGTTTGAAGAGTTCCACTCATGAAACAACTGCTATTGTGAATGAGGGTTCAATCGTCACTTTAGTATTCGACGTTGTGACTTGTATGGCCATACTCTAGGCGAGTGTGTGAGTCAGGCATCACAGTTGTTGGGAATAAAAAATTTAGAAGTAAAGACCAAGTAGATCCTTTGCTTTCATTAGTCTTCTAAAGAATTCTCAGGATTGCAGGGTTAACAACTGGTTAACGTAAATAACAAACATCCATTTGATTTTTGTGAAATATCCTGTTGCTTTTCTCTTACTCAGCAAAATATTTTCTCCACTAGATATGTATTTGACAATTTTGATCTTTTTTCAATATATCTGGATTACTTGATGAAAATTTCTAATAGACAGAGAGACTTCGAGATAAACAGTAGATGTTGCATTGAGAATGCATATACTCCATTATTTCTATACGACGTCTGTTGGTTAATTTTTTTTGTCAAAATCGATTATCTTTAACAAATTACTCTGAGGATGCAACTTACAATAATAATGATAATCGACTTTATTCATCGCGAAAGATAAAGGATATCTTGTTTGTATTTACATTACAAAAAACCTAAATCTATGAACATAAAATTGCTAATGGTACATTTCCTCAAATATACAGTTATTACAAAATGATTTATTTGAAAATAAATGATGTTATCATTCTCGGCGGAAGAATGGCCAGATGTTACATTTCATACTGCACGGAAGTATTTACAAAAAAAAAATATAATACTGACTATAGCGTATTGGTCAAATATATTGAACATAAATAGGTAGGTTGGCATCTAATACGAACAACTTGAAGAAAATAATTATTTGTTGTTGCGGAATTGATTGAGTTTGGCATGTATCCCCAAAATGTTGGATCAAATCGTCAAAGGTTTTCACCTTACCTGCTCTTACTGTGCAGCTTCCGGGTAAAGGGGATGCATCCGCCCAATCAGCAGCGAATAGTGGACTGTAAGGGGTTGATTGCTTTATGGGTATAAAGGAGCACACGTAAATCGGCACTTTGATTTCTGGATACTCGATAGCACCACCGGCTCGTACGTTTTTACATTTGTACTGTCACTCAAAACATTCTGTTCGTCTATCGCGGAGAGCAATTTTTTGTCTAGTCTCCTTGGCGATATGCGCGAGGAAATTAACATATACGGAGTGATGCCAAATCCGAAATAAATATGCTTATAATAATAATTATAACTAAATATAGTGGGGTTATCCGAGAACTTAACATTTGTAGTAGTCAGTCCATCTATAGTAGGCGGAGCCTCATTCTCAATTTCTTTTTGAAGTTATACAGAGAGTAATCCCAGAATTCATTAGGAAGGGAATTATTTTTTTTTGAAGAGACGTAATAGAATCTTCGTGTAAATAGAGCAGTAGATTGTTGAGGTGCAAGAAGTGGATTGCATTTCCTGGTATTCACTTGATTCAGGCTATGCATTATTAATAAACTTTTGAGTAGATACGTGAGATGACCAGTGATTAAAATTTTGTGGATAAGAGTGAGGAGATGAAGTTTACGCATTTTTTCCAGGTTGAGCCATCTGGAATCTGCAAACTTGCCATTAATGTGGTCGAATTCCATATGCAAATCGAATATAAGAATTCTGAATTCATTGCAAACGACTAGAATCAGCCTTAAGTAATGCAGGACCATATACACTATCGCAATATGATATTCTGGACATAATCAGAGTCTCACATTATATGTTTATGTTGAAGTTACCGCATATTTGCTCACGCTTTGACTTGGGACTAAAAAGCATTGTGAATCTGATGGATTGAGTTTGAGGTTATGCGCTGCAGAGATGTTAAATAAGGATTGAAGATCTTTTTCGATGTTACTGAGGGCCTGAGTGATATTTTCAGCTGAAAAAGCTGTATATATTTGCGTGTCGTCAGCATAGTGGTGGATTATACAAGTTTCCAAACTTTAGTAAAAATCTGCTATACAGAGTGAGAACAATAGGGATCCGAGAATTGAACCTTGTGGAACTCCATAAGTGACTGGTCTGACATCAGATATAGAAGTTCCAATAATAACTGATTGGGTATGGATGTGTCTTTAGTTTTTAATCACTTTGACAGCATCCTCAGCAAATCCATAGTGTAATAGCTTTCTGTATAGTAAATTATGGTCAATTGTATGAACGCTTTACTATAATCTAGTAGTGTAAGACATATTAGCTGGTTGTTATCACTTGATGTGAATAGATCGTCAGTTATATTCAAGAGAGAAGTGGTTACGCTATGGAATGCATGGAATCCAGATTGAGCTTCCGTTACAATATTTTGTTTCATAACATAATCTGTGATTTGTTCTTTTAGAATTCGTTCAAAGGCTTTGGAAAATGTTGGCAACAAACTAATAGGGTGTAGTTGAGATAAGTCGATGGGATTACTACTTTTAGGTATGGGTATCACTAAGGCATTTTTCCATGCTATGGAAAACCAGTTAGTGGTGACGACCTTATTGAAGATAAATGTTATATGATCTGAAAGTTTTTTGAAAATATAATTGATCATTTTGATGGAAATATCAATCCCAGTAGCGTTACTTGTGATAGAATTCAGGTGGCGTTGGACATGGATGGAAGTAACAGTTGAAAAACGGAATTGGGAATTTCCTCTCAGAGTGTCATATTAATCAAGAAGAAAAAGTTGCCCAGAAGTTATATCCACATGACTGATATTAAGAAAATGTGAATTCATTTTTTATGCAACTTTAAGTTCCCGAGGAATTTCAGATCGTTTATTATTTTTCTTTTCTTTGATTGACGACTTGTTTATTTTGTGGAAATTCATGTTCACTGAGGATACACTACAAAAACACACTTTTGTCTATTTTCCACGATATTTCTTTATTATTGACTAGTTTCGGCTATTACACCATTTTCAAAACTAACTGATTACATTTAAATCTGAGTAATTATACCATATGTTCCAAAAGACAAAACCGGTATGCTTTCTTTTCACCTGTATATAGTTTCTGATATCTTTATAGTATTTCCAATCGATTAAAAGTTTTGTCTTTTTATATTTCTTCAATACCTTATCTCTAATTTGTATGATTTCTTTAATATTATATGTTAGCCAAGGTGCTGGTGGTTTGGTAGTTGTAACAACGTGGACAGGAGCATGAATATCAAAGAGAGCTATTATGTTATTGTTGAAATGAGTTAACATTTCATCCACGTTCTCCGAAGCATAGATGAAATTCCAATTAACTGAATTCAAATTTGAGAAGAAATAGTCAGTGTTAAATTTGGAAAAATCTGAATTTTTTTCTGGAGTAAGCCAAGTCTGTGTAACTTCCCGCTAATTAAATCTTCCACAGTTAATGATTAAGACCCGCTTTCTCAGTCAGCAATGAAGTTTCAGCTAGAAGCCAGTCAATTGTTCGACCAAGACATTCTTTGCTGTCTAATTCGGGAGCGTTATCTTTTTGTTTTAGTGGCAGGTTCGCCACTAAACCACTGTGTCTGTAAATGAAAAAAATGGATTTCAACTCATTTTCTCGTTAATCTTCCTGACAACTCCCGAAATGAACCGCAGAAAAAGAAAACGGGTACACACCATAACTGCGAAAGGTCTCCAACCTCCCCTCATAGTCTTATACAGTCCTCACAAAACGTGTAACCTTTGAAGTTTTGGACCGCAAAAACAGAAACGGAATACTTTCCATTTCTGCAAAAGGCCTCCAAATATACATTTCAATACTGGGCGCACAATTGACCACGAAAACAGAAATGGAATACTTTCCATTTCTGCAAAAGGCCACCAATCTCAACTTTTAGCCTTACCCATTCCACACAAAACGAACAGTAGATTAGAGATACATTTTAATACTGGGCGCACAATTGACCATGAAAACAGAAATGGAATACTTTCCATTTCTGCAAAAGGCCACCAACCTCAACTTTTAGCCTTACCCATTCCACACAAAACGAACAGTAGATTAGAGATACATTTTAATACTGGGCGCACAATTGACAAATGTTATTAATAAAATATACATCCCTAAGTGAATTACATTCAATATGTATGAGTCTTCTTCAAAAGCACATTTTTTTGCTGTAGTGACATCACAAACACATTAAGCAAGATTTTGTCATATCTTCAGATCTATTGATTATCAATGTTTTTATTTATTGCCTATATTTTACTATATCTATTCGTTTCAACATGTTATGATTATTGACAATACATTCGAAAAATCTAATACAAAACAGACAACAGTTAAAGTAGCCTATTTGTTCAACGCATGATTATAAACCTTCAGTGATAATTCTTCTTTAATATTTTGAGAATCAGTAAACATATTTTAAATGAATTTAGATATTTCTCTCGTATATTACAATTCATTGGATCCATTGAATAGATTTCAAGTGAGATGGTATATTGGTTGGCATTGTGGTTCTGGCAAACTACGGAATGATATCTTCTCTCAAACAATTATTTAAAAACCATATGTGAATTTGTATAGAAAATACCATACCTGGCACAAAAATTTCTTTTAAATCTCAAAATAACTTAAGNTTCTCGAACTATGCAGAAGACTAGCACGGGTCCCTTGTTCTTTCTTCGATTAAATTCAAGTAAATCAATTTACTCCCTTCCTTTAGTATTTGTAACGCTCGTTCGCATTTTACTTTCACACTATAAGAACAGTTCTCACAGTAAAAATTTCCTCTATACGAATGATCCATCGATTGCAATTATCACAAGCTACCCACGTTACAGTGGCAGCTCGTTCCCCTAAACAGCAACATAAACACTTATTTAAAATTGTTTCATTATTGAACTGCTTATCGGCTGAACAATAATCAGAAATAAAGGTACCGCTATAGGTTTTTTCGCCGGAAGTAGGATCACACGTCAGGTGTATACAACGATTACAAATATCACAAGCTACCCATTCGGTTGTTGTATTAAGACGCCCGCGACGGCAATATAAACATTTTTCTGCTGATGTTCCATCTGCTAATAAAGTTAACAATTATTTTACTTTTTATAGTCTTTAATGCAAGAATATTCGATATTCGGTTTTTTAATAAATTTTTGATTGCGTTTAAAAAATAATTCAATGACTAGCATATCAAACTGATAAAATCCTCTGATAATCTGACTATTGTTGGAAATGAGTATTGGCTAGTACCCGAGCTAAAATTCGGTTTCGGTCGAGTTTCGGCAAAAAAACGGGTTTCGGTTTAGTTTCGGCGGCAAACCTGGCCGAAACCGAAACTGCATTTGGGAATTCTAGCGCTGTGATCGGTCATGTTCGGCGCGTTGAATTTCAAAGTTACAAGCGACGAAGACATTTTGCCACGTCCACATGCCTAATCATGCCGTGACTCGTGATTTACTTTGTGATTTCTTTATTTATTACATAAATATTAAATTTATCCCAAACGGGATAGATGAAAAAATTGGTGTTCGACCGAAAGTTCGGTTTCGGTCGAGTTTCGGCAAAAAAACGGGTTTTGGTTTAGTTTCGGCGGCAAACCTGGCCGAAACTGCATTCGGGAGTTCTCGCGCTGTGATCGGTCATGTTCGGCGCGTTGAATTTCATAGTTACAAGCGACGAAGACATTTTGCCGCGTCCACGTGCCTAATCATACCGTGACTCGTGATTTACTTTGTTTACTACATAAATATTATTAGGTAACAACTTAAATAAGTAATTTTATTTTTGAAAAACCATTAATAATATTCAAAAGAAGAATCTACACCTGCTCAAATAAACACCTCACCTATTTTAAGTATTTTTAAGGTGAAATTGATATTTTTTCTTGAATAAGGGGTAGTTATGTTGATTTGTTGATCAATCAATTACAACAGAATTGATTAACGGAAAAACAGATTTTAAACAGATTGGAGGACAAACATTTGTATGTCTTGAAAGAGCTGTAGGGGGGATGAATAATTTGGTTGGATGAAGCAATTGAACTTGTATCTTTGTAATGATGAATAGAAGGGTTTATTAGCATTTGCATTATAATAGCGAGACATACAAGTATCCCAATCAGTATTTGCTGAAAGCGAAAATAAGCAAGTCTAAAACAAACACTTTTCCCAATCTCCAGAAATGCATTACTTTTCTCGACGCGCGTTTCACCAAACAAGTTGGCGTCTTCAGGATAATGAAGCGAGATTGTAGGTGAAGCAAAAGTCTAACCCTGTAAAAATTGTAATCAAATGAAAAATCATATTTATTTGCACTTCTAATCATAGAGATTGTATACACGTCAAGAATGTGGTTAAATAGTAAAATACATTTGAAGTATCAAAAAAACTATAATTAAAATACATCAAACAAGCTAATAGTACAGACTTTAAAAACATTCCATTCATTAACAACCCAGATCAATATTAAAAATGTAATCCATTGAGTAATAGCTTTCATGTATAAGTACATGTTTGATTTTACTTTTCAATTTATTCTAGGATACCTCTTTAGATGTAAAGGGAGCTTATTATAAAACCTGGGTGCATAATAATTTTTTGTATCATAATGGTGAATGTCACTATGCATTTCAAGTATGTATTGTCTATCATGGATCCATAATGAGCATCGAGAAATATATAAAGAGTGTGTGTCACTATTTTGTTTATCTTGAAGTAGACCTTGACATCTCTTGAAAACTAAGGTCATTTTTGTTCTAATGGTCTTTCTTTGAGGGCCAAATAGTTTGGCACAGTATGGTAGATGTCTAGAAACAAAGATTCCATTAGTTAAATGGAATCTTTGTTTCTGTTGACCTGTTAAGGAACTTAAACGTTCCTTAACAGGTCAACATCAAAAAAAGAAATAGTTTTCTCGACGTGCGTTTGACCAAACTTGTTGCCGTCTTCAGGAACTAAATGAAAAACATGGAAACCCAATTTTACTTGTATCAAGTTGTATGATGATATAATAGTTTTATGGTATAAAACAAAGAATTAGCACCTTATAATAGTGCTTAATAAGTATAAAAAATATTACTAATGTAATAGGTACCTACTAATATTGTTCAGTCATATATTTTAAACTTGAAATGCAGCTTTTCCTAGCTCTCTTGCCAACAACTCACTAAAGACTTCAGAAAATCATTGTCGAATTTAGAAGTTGTTGAGTTAATTAAAGTGGGATCAGTACAAAGGAATTTTATTAACACATACAGGAAAGTTCTAAAAAATATATTTCTAAATGAACTGGCAAACAAACTTAAACAATAATTATTTAAAATAAACCAACCAAATAAAAAAATCAGTGCTTATTCCTCAAGTAAATTGCAGCAGCATCATGACTCCCATAATCCAGTTTACAACAGTGTTTGAAAATCTGATTTGCTATAGATGTCAGCAACATGGGGTGTTGAACTTTATTTGAGAGTTCAAGACCCATTTTCAGGTCTTTCTGCATATGCTTCAGTGATTGATCCCCATTGCAACAAAAATCTTTACTCACAATAATGTTTCCTTTTCCTTTTAGATAAGTGCTTGAGAGTCCGGTGAGATTGAAAATATCCAAAAATTTATCTTGAGGTAAGCCACACCTTTCGGCCAATGCTAAACCCTCTGTTAAGGCTCCAAGACATATACCCTTCATGATTTGAATAATAATGTTGATCCTGGCGGCATTCCTGAAACAAAAAATGAATTGAAAATGGACTATTCAAGGAAACAAAAAGAAAATTTAGGCTTTAAAGTTGAGAATCATTTGACAATGGTTGTAGCTCTGACTCTGAATTGAGAATTGGGTATGACACTCTTTACCTATCAACATCATTAACAAATGAATCAAACAATATTGGATTACGATGAGATTCGTGTGGTATACCATATGAAATCTACCTGATAAAAATTCCTTCAACCATTTCAGCTTTGTTCCATGAAAATACAAAAGCAATGAGCAAATCATGGTTGACTCTATCAAAGGATTTAGAAAAGTCAGTGTAGACAGAATCAACCAGTAATATATTTGAAGCAAATCCATGCTGTTGTGGTTTTATAAGTTATTTGCTTTCCCATGTCAAACTCCCAAAATGTAAATGTAAATCCCAAAGATTTGGGATTTACATTAGGGTATAAATTGGGTATAAATTTGAAAATATTTTGTAATCTCCAGATTGGTGCTGGAGAGGCAATAAAGCAAGTGTCTTATTCCGAAACATCGATGTCCGCCATTGAGGATAACAGTGTTCCATATAAGTGAAATTTTACCTCTTTCATGTACTATGTTGTGTAACAATCCTTTGAATGATATCTGATTCAATTCCATAACGAATTTTTCGAGTACAAACTGAATAGCGAAAAGGGTTCATATAGAAGTAGTATTTGGAAAATAATTTTTCTTTCATGTAACTCAATATTTATATAAGAGTAGTTGTTTCAAGAGGCACTTCCATTAGAAAGTAGTAGAAACTTTTCAAATGGAACACCCTGTATATAATATTATTTTTGGAATCTACAACAATTAACCGAAAACTTTTCCACTATACCTATCTGTTACCGTTTTCGAAACATGACTTATTTTCAATTTTTTCTTCGGAAATATTGACCTCTATAAATGCTGATATTTTCAAGAAATACTATGATACCGAAATTTGGTTTGGAGTTAGGTGATACTTGGAAGGTTTCCACATTTCAGCATAATCTACGTTAATTCAATACTGGGTGGTTAAAAAATACAGTTTTTTCGTTTGCTTGAAAAAGTGACTGAAAGTTGATTATTCCAAATGGAACACCCTGTGTAGTATTACACATGCAGAAATCTCCGTCTAGTTGGTACCAACATTTTCGAAATTCTTCGAGTGGCAGATTANAAATAATCAATCACACATGGCAAAATATTTGAATTTCATTATGTAAAATTCGGGGAGTCATCCAAAGTTATATATACCAAGTACTTCTTCGACTGACGACTTGTTTATTTTGTGGAAATTCATGTTCACTGAGAATACACTACAAAAACACACTTTTGTCTATTTTCCACTATATTTCTTTATGTTGACCGGTTTCGGCTATTACACCATTTTCAGAGTAGTACCAAGTAGTTGGGCAGTATTGGAAGAGAATATGAGCCTCTGAACTTTTCCCATGTTAATTTTAGGAAGATTGGTGTTGAACCATTTTTTAGCTTGGCTTTCGGCAAGTTTTGAGATTTCCACTGAATTTTTGCAATTTTTGTCTGAACAACTTGGAAGAAAAGGTCGTTAATAAAAATTATGAATAGTAGAGATTCTAGCACAGATCCTTGCAGAACACCGTTAACTATAGGCTCCAAATTAGACATTCTGTGGCCTCCTTTCGATTTTGTAAATACCATGTGAGAATTGAGAGAACTAGCTACACCTCTAACCCCATATTCATTAATTTTATTAAGTAGTAAGTGGTGAGAGACACAGCGTTACAGCGCTATGCAGACTTAAGGAAACTATAAATAAAATATAACCCTTTCAATTAAATAATGAAATCATTTGAGAAATTTTAAAGTAAAATCCTGAATTGCAACCAAAGAAAACAAAAGCAACAATTGTAGTTTACTTTTCATCCTTCGGTAATTAAAAAAACACACGTAGTCTGTATGATTCATATTAGTCGATGTTACAAATTTTAAAGCAAAAACTTATCTTTCTCGCTACCTTATTTACACAATCCATTGAATCACTTCTGAGTTTTATACCGGTCGGTGAAACAGCGTGCTGCCCACATTGATTTCAAGACAAAATTGTGAAAAATGCCAAAAAGACACCAGGAAGGAAAAAGAGGGTCCGAGAAGGAAATAAAGGAATTGAAACAAATTACGGATAATATTAATCATAGGTCTTGGTCGGACACTGATACTGATTCGGAATCGTTCCATTCCACGGAATTCTCAAATTCAGAAGGTAAGTCTAATCAATTGAAAACATAATGGAAAAATTGTAATGGTAATAGTTACATTACATTGAATTATAAAATTTACAAAACATTATGGTAGTCGTTCCACTAGCATTATTCATATACTCTGGTTAATGTTATTTTGAATTCATCCATCATTATCTGGACATAGAAGAAGTGAACATAATCAGAATGTAGCAAAACCAATGAAAGAACAACAAAACTGGTAGAATTGAAAGATCCTCCGATTCAAGCTTGTGATGAATTTGAAATTTTGGGACAAAACCCAAGATCTCCAATATTGCGGAGAACCCTCTTCATACTGAGATGTAATTCTGGTGGCAGGCATATTTTAAGAGTAGGTTAAATGCATAAAAAATGGAAACTATTATGAAAAAATATCCGCTATATGAAAATTGTCCACTACTGAAAACATATATTTTTGGCCGCGAAGTGAAGACATGTCTGGACAAAAAATAATAACATCATGGCAATTTCATGAAAAAAACTACAAGATCAGGCGAGGCATTCTAGTAGCACTGGGTTTTCAAATGAACACATTACAAGAAATGAATGATGATAATAACTTAATTTTAGCGGTTTTGGTAGATGCTTCTCAACTCATTTGTAATATTATAATACATCATGCCATAAGTACAATTGAAATTACAGCATTATGCACTTTTTTAAACATTCGTTAATAAAGTTGATAGAAAAATGTAAGACAAACGAATTTCTTTCGGGAAAGAACTTGGTAAATGAATCAAAAACATTAGGTAATGCTATTAAAACTAACCTCGAATTGAAAACCCCTTTAAAAATGTGCCAACTTCAAGATGTCTACAATATCAACGTTTACCAATATAAAAAACAACCTTGTTCGTCTGGTTACCAACATGATCGATGTAATTTAAACTGCCGCCAGACTCACCTTAGAAACATTGGTACTAACTGAGGTAAATAAAATAAAATTCACTTTAGTAGAATAAGTCACTTTATGTAGTGTCCGACCGAAAGTTCAGTTTCGGTTGAGTTTTGGGTTTCAGTTTAGTTTCGAAACTGCATTCGGGAGTTCTCGTGCTGTGATCGGTCATGTTCGGCGCGTTGAATTTCATACAAGCGAAGAAGATAGTATAGTTCAAGTAAACGATATAGTGCAACCTACCTTCCGACAGTTCCCCTTTAATAATATATTTAGGGAGCTAACTAAT